GCTACGACTTCTTGAGTTTTGAATGACTGTAGTTCTTTTGTTTCTAAAGCCATAAAATTCTGATTTTTTTTTAAAGCATGGTGTATGTGAGAGAGAGGGGGGGAGACAGAGAAACAGAGAGAGAGTATGCTTGCACACATGTGGTGTATACACACATTTTTATGCAGGTGTACATGCTCCTTTGCATACAAAGAGGCCAGAGGAAGACATCACTACTGTATCACTCTTCTTATTCCCTGGAGACACAGTCAGCCATTGGAATTTGGCTGGAAGCCAGCAATCCCCCATAATCCTCCTGTTTCTCACCCTGCCCTGACGGTCTGGCATTACAGTCACGTGTATAAGCATTCTGAGCTTTTTAGTTGAGCTCTGGGGATATGGATATAGATCCTCATGCTTGTTCAGTAAGTGCACTTACCTGCTGTGCAAAGCCCTACTGTACTTACTTTTGACTAAAACCAAAAGAGTGTAGAGGTAGTAGGGCTGGGCATGCATTTTAGCTGGTTATTACTGGCAGAGGTTGAGGAACCACATTACTGCCAGGTGTAGTCTTCTGAAAAGGGCACAACCACTGTCCTTTACCCCTGAAATTGAGTCAGAGAGTGTTTCCATTCCCAAAGCAATTTGTCCACAGCTAGGGTCCCTAGAAAGAAAGACAAGACCCTGGTTCACCCCCTGATCCTTTACACCACCGCTTTTACCTTTGTCAGAAAGGGAGCCAAGGCTTCCACCATCTGCTGCCTCATGCTTTTGCTCCATGTCTTTTGACGGTGTCTTTAGGGTAAACATGGGACTCCTGTTTCCGTAAGGTAAACATAGGAGAGAGGACTGGGTGTGGAGCAGAAGCTCTTTCAAAGACAGTATCTGGAGGGGTGGACAATTGGCTCTCTCACCCACTCTGCTCTCCCAGTGACATTCTCACTTGTTGAGTTTCAGGCGAGAATAAAGGATAGGTGCTTCAGGTCCCTGTGACTTCGCCTGGCTCTTCCCAAAGCAAGGCCCCTGACTTTAGAAGCCACAAGTGGTCTTCAAAATCTTTGACTTATATTCCAAACAAAATCTTAATAAATGTTGTCTTTTAAAAACTTTAAAAAAGAAAGTTTGTCTTAGACATGGTCTTCTCTATACCAGGCTGGCCACGATTGTACCTCTACCTCCTGAGTACTGGGATTGTAGGTATGGACCACCACGCACGGGGCCTCCTGTAGAGATTAAGCAATCTCTACCATCCAAGGTGCAGTCTCAGCCCTAAAATGTTGCCTTTTTACAACTTTATCAAAATGGCAATGTGTCCTTGTTTCATTTGATGTAGCTTTCCCATTTTAGTGAACATAGAAATAACTTATCCTTCCAATGGGAGAAAAGAATCAATGGATAAGAATTTCTTGGGTAATTTCATTATTCTCAAGTCTATTAGAGAAGCCATGGGTATTTAGAAATGAATATTTTTTCCCTTAGAAAGTAATTTCCAACTGTGCCCTCCCCCTTCAGAAAACACACCGGTTCTCTTTGCATGGGTCACAAGTTCCTTAATGTCTACTCTGGAAGATGTGGTGAAGGAAGTGGTGGTAGCATGGTAGTTCCTAATTCACAAGAGTTGATTCATGTTTTACAAGTGTATTTTATATGCAGGAAACAGATTTCTTAGTTCCTCTTAGATTATTGGAAACTGACCTTATAGATTTAAATGGTTCTCATAGGATGTAGAGTGGGTAAAGGAAATTGTTTTAATTTAGCTTTTTTTGCATTTCTTTGTTTCTATTAGGTTAGCAGTTATTGCCTCTTTTTCTTTATGAGAGAGAGAGAGAGAGAAAGAGGGTTAGGTGGATACATTATAGGAATTAGGAGTCAAAACCTCTGCCTGCTTACTTTTTCTTAACATTTTAATATAACATTAAGCTGAATGCCATGCTAATTTGTGGGATTGTGTTAGCCATCCTTCCACTTAAGCTGGTTTTGAAAGGATATGGCATGACACAGGATGGACACATGCTTTGGCATGTCCCTTCCCTTGGCAGAGGGTGAATCTTGCTGGGTAGGAACTTAGATGGTGGTAGATGACACACCAGAAGTAGTGAAAAGGGAAACAACTGTCTTTTATAAATAACCATGACACTGTCAATAGCCCCATGCCAGGGATGCTAATCAAAGTTGTATTTTCTGTCAGTTATGATTCCATCTGTGATGTATTCAGTGTGAACTCCCATTCCGACTCACTTGCAAGCTGATACATTATTAAAATATCTCCCGTGTGTAATGGAGATTCCCTTAAAAGTTCTATTATTTAGTCCATACTTGGTAAAGATCATCTCTGGTAAAGATCATGTATATAGCTATATTTTTAACTCTTTTGATAGTCCAAAATTGCTGTTTTTCTTATTTCTAGTTTTAACAAGTGTCATAAATATCACAGTGACAACCCAGGTGGATGTCAGTTCAATTTTTTAGGGACAAAATGGCCTTGTATTTATGATCACAGGCACCTAGAACTTCATAATGTCATGCTTTTATCCTAAATAGCATTTCATATAGTGCTGTAAACATCCATACTGCCCTCTCAACCCATGTCAGAATTGAATAAACTTTCAATATCATCATTTTACTGACAGAGAATTTGAGATCCAGAGGGAAGATGCCCTGCTCAGATTCACAGTAAAATTTCAATAATTAAGTCTTTCCACTTTTAGCAAACTTCATACTGAATGTCTTAAAGAAAATAAGTATAGTTTATTATTTTTTCCATAAAAGTTGTTTTGTGATTGATCTTTCCACCTTTATTTTTCAAGACAGAAAAAGTAATTTTTAATTTAATTGGCTGCACTGATAGACTAGCTTACTTTAAGATTAAAATAAAATTTGAGCTCAGGAATGTTTGGGATGAGCTGATTTTTGTCAGCACCCAAATCATACTGTAGTTGGTGAGCACTAGGGTGGTTTTATGGACTTCTGAGATAATTGCACAGAGCCGATTGGGGCCTGCTGTGTCCTGGGGAATGTATACAAAATAAGCATAACTTATGTAATGTGAACAGCTAAGGGGTATATTTTCCTGTTCTCTGGCAGGCTTCCTGGAGAGGAAAAGCATTTCAGACCATCTCTGTAAGAATGCCTTGATTATAAGTTCTGAATTATTTGTCACTTTTAATCTCCCAGAGTTTCAAATAAACATAAAAGATAAATATCTATGCACCCATTCAAATTTTGTATAGCTATAAAATTTCTGAATTTAAACTCTCAGGATCAAGAACCAATTTATCATTCAGGTTTGCTGTAGTACCAATATAAAAGATCACATTTCTCCTCCCTATGAAATTGAAATTAGTTTTAAATAGTTTTTCCCCTGTGTGAGATATACATGTCAATGCCTTAGAAGCTCTAATACTTGGTTTAGAGGAAGAACTGAAGCATAGTTCTTAAAGGATATTTATTACTTTTTCCAGTTGTTTTTTAGGGCAAAAGAAATCACCGTACCCAATCTATTTGGCTAGGAAGGTGTTTCTTTATGAGCCTTCTTGTGTGTGAAGAAGCTAAAGAAATATGGCTTTAGATGGGTCACAAAAGGGCCTGGGGAGGTCACTAAGTCAGCTACCAGGGCCTGAGTTCCGTCTCAGAAGTTAGGTTTAAAAAAAGCCAGACATGGTGGTGTGTGGTCAAACACATGAGACCATGTGGGCCCTTCTCTTTCAAAACCACCACAGTTGTTCTGTGATTTTTACATGTACCTGTACACACACACACACACACACACACACACACACACACTCTCTCTCTCTCTCTCTCTCTCTCTCTCTCTCTCTCTCTCTCTCTCTCGAACATGTCACAAAAATTCCTAAATAAGCATTCATTAGGAAAAGTTTTTGATTGACAATAAGTGGTAAGTTTCTAAAGAGAGGAAAAATGGAAGACAGTCATGAGAGATTAGAATGTATTATATATATGCATATATTCAAATATATATGTTAGTGATTTAAACATACTAAAGCACTGCTTTATCTTTTGATATTGCAGAAAAAAATTCATGTGTTGAAAATCACCAAAAACAAAAGCCTTTAATCCCAGCACTTGGGAGGTGGGAGGCAGAGGCAGGGGGATCTTTGTGAGTTCCAGACCAGTCTGGTCTACAAGAGCTAGTTCCAGCATCTTGTCT